TCCGCAGCTGCCAGGACAAGCATTCGGTGCAGAGATATTCCAGGGCGTGATGCCTGCCTGTTCGACTGTGCCTATAGGAGGCTCTTCCCGGTCCTAACATTGGGCCTGAATCGAAATGGTGACATCCCTTTACTTATCAATAACATGCTCTACACCCATGAGATAGCAGGGGTATGCAGCCTTATGGTTTTTCCTACACCGGGAGACACATGGTTGTTACCGGACTTTGTCGTGGTCGACAATTACTTCGAATTTCAGCCGAGTCAAGGGCGAATTGGGATCGCTAAAATTCGCCCTCATTAAAACCATGCCGGATAGTTCATGCCGACGGCAACAGCTTCGCTATTTCAGAGGATACAGTATGTTTTGTCAGAGTCCTCATATATCTCTCATCAACTTATAACGAGATGTTTTGATTTTCATCTCTATAGAGCCAAGATTCGCTTATAGGATCAGTTTGGCCGACTCAGTTACAGACTCTCATATATGCCATTAACTCGATGTTGTGTTGCATCTCGGAATGAACATTCTACTCGGCGCGTTGCAAGACGTGGTGATTAATCAAACTGCACTCTGTGTGAATTACCAGGATTGTGAACCTTCACAGAAATATCGATCTGAAAACGTGTCGAGGTGGCATCGTTTCATATTTGCACTATGGAGTTGTCGTGCAATATATTTTTCGATAGTGTTTTTCATATCGTCGGTGGAACTCCAATGTTGACCACGGTTGTTGAATGTCAACACTCTGGTCACCTGTTGATCCTAACTAACAGATTGGCCTGCAACAATGCCGCGTTGTATAGCACATAACTTTGGGAGGTCTCAATACCTTAATCTCAATACCTGCCGAGAGGAAAGGAAGTACATTGGCAGAGGTTATCTCGCCCTGTGGACCAAACCCATTGGCAGGATGAAAGTAGACAATTTAAAAGGCCAAAACTGATCCCTCGAGAGCTAATGTGCATCGACGCGAGTCTAACTAAGCCGTGTTGTCGGCGTTGGACTTTAAACTCACACACACACCTTGATCTTCAACTTGTGATCTCCAACGTGCACGAGAATGATTCTCGCGATGTTCTAGCACGGGTTGAACGTCTAGAAAGTCATTGGAAACTTATTGGAGTCCTCAGTGGAATCAGTAATATATTGCTATGAGGCTCCGAATGACTGCCCGAGTTCGTAGTACAAAAACAACGAATGTAAAGTGAAACCAATCGAGATCGTATCAACCAACAAATGTTAACAGAGATTTGCTCAGCTCAGTAGTAGCAGTTACCTCGCTACGTTCACGCAAGAATTCGCTACAAGTGCACAAAAACCAGCGAGAAGTTGTCTGATTAGCATCATGGCGTGTGGTTAAACATGTTCATCATTCCCCGTATTTGATAGCAAGCAGCAGTTCTCCTACCGCTGAAGGCCCAAGCCATAACAGACTCAACGCAAGTTCGTCTACCTTATCGGTTGACCTACAGGATTGCAATTCTACGTATGCAGGTCGCCGATACTGCAGAATACGACGCCACAGTTGTTGCTAACTAATCTAGCCATCCACTGACTATTGAAGTCTAGGATAGCGTGAAGGTTTGCCGATAAAATACTCGTCAGAGAGTCCATAGAGAAGTAGACGACGACAAACGAGGGACTTATTCAAAGGTTCTAGTTGAGATCAACGTAAGTAAGATAACAGTTACAATGATAATGATGAGTGCGACCATCAGCTCATTGTGGGTTGAACTATCTGAGTTCATAACACAGCCACAACGCTCCTTAATGGAAGTACAAGTAGAATCATCGTGTAGACAGGCTACTAGAATGTCTCACCCGCTGTAATAACCTCCACTTTGGGTCACAGGCACATAACCGTAAGTTCCATAGGGCATAAGGTATGGGGCAGCGACCGGGGTAATTACAGTCCTGTCACTATCCGTATTCGCATATAATGGAGTGACGGGGAAGGGTAGATACATGGCTTGGTTGGGGAGAGCTTCTGTACACAGACTTGGAGCATTCACTTGATACAAGAAATGATAACCAGGGTAATTCGGAAACCATCCCGACTGTCTACTATATGAAAAGGCGTTATAATCACATACATCCAGCTCCCTCTCATGACTGCTACCCAGATCCTCAGAGTGACATCGTTTACCACCAGTAGGAGTGTCTCGCGCACTGACTTGGTGATCATGATCGATATCGGAAGGAGCCGTAGAGGCAGAACTGACAACACTCGAGGAAGGAGCCCCAGAACGATCGAGCAGCGGTTGGACTTTAGAATGGTTGATAACCACGCCCTCCCCATCTGCATCAGACGGGACTCCAGGAGTAAGCTCGGATTGCCCATGAGCATACCGACATTTGCTGCCGAGCTTGCAGAAGCCCGATTCGTAGAAAGAGCACACCTTAGTTTTAAAGAAGGCATTGGTTGACCTGACCTGCCTTATATCGTGTGCATATGGACACCGTTTGCGATTAGTACACGCACCATTTTGGAGCAGTGAACGACACATTCGCGTCTTTGAGAGGTCTGGCTTCGCCCTCAGTTCTTCCTTGAAATGAGCGTGACTGCAGGCACTTCCTTTGTTGCAACCGCCATTCAACATGAACCTGCACATCTCAGTCTTGTAGAACTGGTTGCGGTACCGATCATGCCAAGCATCGGAGGCATTGTCGAGGCTCTTACGAGGGACAGACGTCATTCAAACAACAAAAATCTAGAAGAGCACGGGTGAGACGTTTGAAGTGACACGTGCAGACACGTGAGTAAAAATACCGCGATCGGGGTTCGAACCTGCGCCATGAACCACAACTTGCACGCATGCCCACTCGACTCGAATACGCCTCAATTCGTTCTCCCTACAATTTGATGCAAGTTAAGTAGACACCGAAAGGTCTCCACCTACGAAGCTCGACCTACAGCCGGTGACTAAAACAGTCAGATAGGTTCATGCTGAGTACACTGCGTGCTCCATGGTATAGGTTCGACGACTACTCCGATCAGCCGATGTTGCCTTGATGGGGCGCTTCCCTTAGGCCATAGAAGTTGTTCTTATTCGCGAGCCGTAGCCTTGGGCCCCTAGGCTTGGGGGATGCATATAACAAGTGGTCGCGACAGGATGACAATCGCCCTTGTTCGACTTCGTTAGGGAGTGAGACTGACGGATGTCTGGCATTTAGCTGGAGACTATTGGTTGCTGCCAATCTCACTCTACATCGCGTCAACGAAGTTCCTGTCACTTACCCATGCTGTGTTGAGGATGCTCTACTCACTTGAACGCAACAGAAGCTTCTGTACATCAGCTATTGATTTCGTTATATCATACGCAGAAATGACCATGCTAATATTAGAATGTAGAGTGGATGATGATGAATGATAAAGTCCCGATACAGAGTTCACGCATGACTCGAGTTTAAACTGATAGTGATCGAAAATGAGAATTTATCATGTGAAAGTCACAAAACACGACACTGATATGATGACGTAGCTGCTCTGTGTGCAGGAGGGAATTCTCACCATCAAAGTCGAATACAGACCTTCCTCCCGCGATTGCGCAGGTGTCCTAGAAGAAGCGTGTAGAAGGGTCAACACTCTGCGAGACATTTACAGGTCGACAGGTTTTTGATCCTCAATCAGCAATCTGATCAGATAGATCAGAGTTCTTTTCGAAGTGGGTGGGTGAGTGGGTGAGTGCGAAACTTGGGTGAGTATTGCCGAAGTTGGGCACGCATTGTCATTCTTGCATGAGGCAGTGTTAATCTAAGATTAATTGGGCCCAAGATAGTGCTAATCTTGGCCCCAATAAATCAGGGGAGTGTTAAAGTTGGATGTGTATTGTCATACTTGGACCCAATAAATAAAGGGTGCGTCAAGGACGAATGCATATTGTCAAACTTGCACCCGATACTTCCCACTTGTGTCAAACACGAATACGTATTGTCATTTTTAGATGTGACACTGACATAGTCGCTTGCACATTTGTCAAACTTGCGCGGGAAAAGGTGTAGTTCGCTTGCTCTCGGAAATCCCGAGTCGAACTATGAGCAGATAGCTTAGAGAGAGCACTAGCTCTAGTTGAAAAGTTATTGAGAATATCTGCAGAAAGCATTAAATCGATTGAGAAGGCTAATCTCACTGGACGCACTCGCGTGGTATGGCACTTAACGAGTCTTGCAATAATACTAAAGTGAAGGATAGTAACTCGATGGGGAAACCCTCGGCGCGCAGGCCTCACGAGACTGGCCTATCTAACTGGTGATTTAACTGTGAAATTCCTACCTGATCAGAGGACGGCGAGAAGAGGAGAGAAAGCACAAGTCCTCCATAGAGCTCGCGATCAACAGCGGTCGTCCCCTTCGCAATATGCCTAGTATGAGCCGACTCACAAAATTCGCAAGCTTGATCGGAGTAGGACCGAGGACCATTCACGAGTGCCTTCACAAGAACGCCTACCACATAGCCTCGTTATTCGATCAAGACGGGAAGTCACATCAGAGGCAGACTCCAGGATCGGATTGGAAACAGCCACCTTACATTTCCTGAACAACAGCCGCCGACATGGATATCTGCCTTCCAAAACAATACAGATCATTGATTTGAGAAGGATTGACGACTCACAAGACTCCTCCACACGACAAACTCATATCCCAGTGACAGAAGCAAGCAGACCAGGCACTACGAGTAATGTGTGATAATGATGCGAGAACCGGCAAGCAACGATGTATTGTGAAACTGTGGTGATAGTACATATCTATGTTAGCATGACCGACACCTATTGATCATTCAAAGTTGTAATGCATAATTGAAAGCCCAACAATTGGCTCATCTCCACCATAGCGTTTTTAAATACTCAGCCTTCCCAGCATACTCTTAACGCGATTCGATGTTGATATATTGAGAAACACGCACACGCCAGTCAATTCTACTTGTTACCCCAGCGCACTTGCAGGTCCACTTCTGGTCTACCCAGCGTCGCTCGGACTCTACCCTGAACTGCATTAAGGATTGGCACTACTCTGGTGGGAAGGGTCAATAACAATACCACTTTAGAAGGACTCATCGACTTCACCTACAGCAGGGAACATACTTGAACATACGTGAAACAAAGGCGACTGATCGAGTGCATCAAGCCACAACACTGTCCAGCATCACGTATCACCGTAGTCGGCCCATATTACCACGAGACTCCCGCCTATATCCTCTATCTCTTTCCTGATCTCTCTGATGGCGCTATCCAGCTCCGCAGCATTGAGAGGCCCTGACTCCGCAGCAGCGTCCACGGCCGAGACTGTCTCTATTGAAGTGAGAACAGGGAATTTGCTGGACAGGACGTCCCAAAGGCCTGTGGGAAACAGGAAGCTCATGCGGCCAATTCGATTCCGTTATTACCATATTTAGTGCTGGTGTCCGAGAGAGCACACGAGCTGCAAGCTCCAGTGAAAAGGACTCGGACTCTGCCATCATCCTCAACACCAAGCACTCGGACGCCTCCTCCATCCATAGCCAGACCTGGACGAACCTGACACGACGCTCGAGACCACGATAGTCACCACTTGCAATATCCTTCCTCTATAATACAGCGTAGATGGATACGTCATTCTCTACAAGTCTCGTTAACCCAACCTACGGCATCTAGCGCTCGATCCACCTGCTGCACTGTAGGCAGTGAGAGCTGGTCAGCGTTGGGAACGACCGCCACCAACAAGCTAAGACCATAGAGGAGCCCTAGTAAGGACAATAGGGACGTTAAACGAGAATGTCGCAGCCGCTGCTTGTGATTGAACAGTGAAGCCATAATGCGGACTGAGCCAACTTCACCGACTACAGAGAAACTCCTGACTAACACAACGGCAATGCCCAAAGTCTTTAGGCCAAAGAAAGGTGGCACCTGCTGGCCTCGTATTGAGTCGTCCACGTACTGCAAGGAAACAAGAATAGAGGAAATACAGAAGAATGCTATAGTGTATGGTATCCTAGGTGGTCCATATTCTGTTCGTAAGGCTCATCATATCAGAGACGCTCCTCTGTGAGGTCTGTGCCGCCGTGGGCCGTAGACGTTTTGAGAGAGCACGACCCGTGATGTGAGAGTCTAGCGAATGCCTTCGAAATTGGATGGGTATAATTTCAAGAGCATTTGAGCACCCATGGAGCCTCACAGAGCAAATTTAGTGAAAGTACAATTAGAGGAGAGAAGGAGCCTATACAACTCTGAGTCAGAGAAACAGGAAGCATAAATCAGGAGCTAACAAGGAATACCCAACAAATAGGAAGCAGCAACAACAGCAGTGGTAGAAGCCGAGAAAGGCCTGCTGTAATCTACCATACAGGAGACTATTGCGGAATCGTCTCCAGCTCTTCGCATTAGTACGATGGACTCAAGCCTCAACAATTCAAGCTCCAACCGGCTCGCTCACTGCCCTTGTTGAGAGCTCAGGCATCCTCACGGGACTCTCAACCGGCTCGTCTTCTATCCGTGGCAGTCTCCTTTCGGGCATGTCTATTGGTTGCTCACTCGAGCCAGAAGATGCTACATCATCAGGGACCGTGTCATGGTTGCCACGGCTCTCGGAATGGTGTAGATGACTCGGGGCAATGGGATGAAACAGTTCATCATCACCGGCCTCCCGAATGAGCCCCAACATCTCTATACGTTCACGACCTGATCATATCCGATCCTCCGACTACCGACGTGTGTAATGCTTACACATGTAGCACCGCGTAGTGCGCAATACCAGGTCCTTAGCACAGCCTTCACAGAGACCCCCATGCCCACAGGGTAGGAGAACAACAGTCGCTAAGTCATCCATACATATTTTACAAGGATGTGCGATCTGTTCACAGTGCTGCTAGCTTACGACTGTTCATGACAACTAAACTACCTTTTCATCAGGTGATGTTTCTCTTGCAGTAGAAGCCACATCACTCGCGTCGCCATCCTCCGCCTTTCCGGGTTCCTTCGCGGGTTCTTTCGGGCTACCAATGCGGAAGTAAGTACCTAAAGATCATCATAAACAGCGTTTTTCCTCGGCCGAATTCGGAAGAGCGATGTTTCTCGTACTGGGAGTTCTAGTACCGAAACTGGGATGAGCTATAGATAAAGTGATGAACAATATGAACAACTTGATCAACGAGGAGTGGGAACGTACTGGAAAGACGTTCCAAGCTGCGAACTTCATCACATCGATTTGCTGCGTTTTGCTCCAAGGCCACTACCGCGGCCGCCTCCTTCTCCCTACGAGCCTAATAGAACCACTACACAGCTACAACGCCTCTCCAGGGTAGGTCCATGCAAGAGAACAGAATACGGCAATATATAGATATGCCCGGAACCTTACCGCACTCATTCTCCTCATGCCGGCTCGGAGGCAATCTCGGCACATAGCAGCTCCGAAAGACGTCTCCCGGTATATCCGTATGGCTCGGCCACATCCAGCACATTGTACTACCTGAATTGGAATGTATCAGAACTAAAGTGGAAGAAGCAGAGATAAAGCTACAACGGTCAATGAACTCATCGAGGATCGGTCGCGTCTCAGGAATTACTATTCAATTTTTGACGAGGAATAAACTCCAGTTTAGACGTTGAGTCGTGAGTTACGAGCAGATACCCCCGAATCCAAAACACTCCACCACACCCATTTTTCACATTACCACAGTGTTCCGATTCCTCCATAATTCACATCGCATTCTCACTATAAGATACAGAGTAACAATAACAGCTAGGCATAGGATGATAGCAGCCGCGGCTATAGTCCAGGCAGCCCACGTAGGGAGCCCGCCGGCTGCATCTGAGACTCGACGGAGATTGCCGTGAGTCGTTGAAAGGCTCAATAATGGCAAAGTCATAAAGAAACAACTACCAGTGAATTTAACTGCGAGACCACACAAGGGACAATGACCTTCGGCAACCAAAGAATCTCAGTGCAATGAGTCAATTAATGAACTCAATACGACGGGAACCACAACTGCAATAAAACCTCTTGAACTTGATGATCTCGCTCCAAGTTATTATAATGAGCATGTCTAAACCTCTCCATTCAGCACTTACTCCCAGCGGCACAACAGCTAATTTGACAGAGTCAAAGACACCGGACATTCCGGACCGGAAGGGAGAGCATGTCTCCTATTCTCTTCCACGGAATCTTCCGAGCTTCCATCTATGAAGATGGAAGGAATCTCTTCAGTCAGCGTTTCATCACCATCACTCTCATGATCCTCTGATCTCGACCCGTCCGTCCTACTGCGAGGTTCGCATTGTCCATCGCCTTCTACATCAGCTATTGTTATCTTCCTCACGATCACCTCTGGCTCACCTGTAGAGCCGATAATGTCGCCCATTCAGTCATTTTTCTTCACACGGAAGTGTTCACCGCAGCGCGGTCTATGGCTTCGAGCCTCCACAATGCTTCCTCTGTGGTTT